ACTGTTGAAGATGAGCTATGAAAAAAGAGATCTCCTAGGTTAGATTTTCTAAAAGTGTGGGAGTGTTTGGCAAAGGTAATTATATTTGATCCTAAAAGAAAGAAAATAGGACAAAAAACTGTAGATGCTGTTTTCATAGGATATGCTCAAAATAGTGTGCAAATAGGTTCTTGATTATAAATTCCGAAATAAGTGACATTAAAAATAATACTATCATTGAAGCTAGAGATGCTACTTATTTTGAAGATGTTTTCCCATTTAAGACTATAATTTTAAGTGAACCCTCGACTTCTAAGAAAGTGGTTTTAAATAATACTCCATCTAGTTCGTCTTTAGAAGATACAGTTGAACATGAACTTAGGAGGAGTAAAAGGACTAGGAAGAGAAATCATTTGGAGAAGAATTCTTTACATATTTAGTTGAAGGTGAACCTGAAACATATAAAGATGCTATGGTCTCTACTGATGCACCTTATTGGAAAGAAGCCATCAATGATGAGTACGAGTCAATTATACAAAATAATACTTGGGTCTTATGTGATTTACCTCAAGGAAGTAAAGCAATTGGATGTAAGTGGGTATTTAAAAAGAAGTTGAAACCTAACGGAAGTATAGATAAATATAAAGTTAGGTTAGTAGCTAAAGGATTCACCCAAAAAGAAGAGGTTGATTATTTTGATACATATTCTCCTGTTGCTAGAATAACTACTATTAGAACATTGTTAGCATTGAGTAGTATTCATAAATTGATCATTCATCAAATGGACGTTAAGACTACATTTTTTAATGGTGATTTGAATGAAGAAATATATATAGAACAACCAAAAGTTTTAAAGTCGAAGGACAAGAACATAGAGTATGTAAATTAATGAAGTCATTATATAGACTAAAACAAGCTCCTAAACAGTGGCATGAAAAGTTCAATAGAGTTATACTAAATTATGAATTTAGAATTAATACACATGACAAGTGTGTATATTGCAAAGAAGATAACAATGAGCATGTGATACTTTGTTTATATGTAGATGACATACTAATATTTGGGACAAATTTAGGATTTGTTAATGATGTAAAGAGTTATTTGTCAAAGAATTTTGAAATGAAAGATTTGGGAGAAGCTCATATAATTTTGGGAATGAAGTTAAGGAAAACTTCTGAAGGAATTTCACTAAATCAATCTAATGCTATTAAAAAGATGTTGGAAAAGTTTGGACATTATGACAATAAACCAGTTTCCACTCCATATGATTCAAATGTACACTTGAAGAAGAATTTAGGTGAACCAGTTTCGCAATTTGAATATTCTCAAATTATTGGATCTTTGTTGTACATAGCAAATAGGACAAGACCTAATATAGCCTTTGCTATTAGGAGACTTAGTAGATATACTAACAATCCAAGTAAAGAACATTGGAACGCTCTAGAGAGAGTGTTTAAATATCTCCGAGATACATTAGATTATTCTATAAGCTATAAAAAATTTCCAAATTTTATTGAAGGATATAGCGATGCAAACTGGATAACTGATAATGTAAATATTAAATCTACCACTGGATATATATTTATGCTAGGTGGTGGGGCCATATCTTAGGGTTCAAAAAGACAAACGATTATCTCTAGGAGTACTTTAGAGTCAGAGTTAATTGCATTAGATACAACATGTACTAATGCTGAGTGGCTTAAAGATTTATTATTAGATATACCATTAACAAGTAAACCAATTCCAGCTATTTCAATACATTGTGATTGTAAAGCAGTAATAGAGCTTGTAAATCAATCTCACTCAAATAAAAAGACGAATAGGCATATTCAATCAAGACTTAAGTCAGTTAATGCCTTACTTATAAGAAATGTGATTTCTCTCAATTTTGTGAGGTCTAAAAAGAATTTGTCAAATAACTTAACCAAAGCTTTACCCAAAAAGGGTGTTAATGAATCATCGAGGGGGATGGGCTTAAGCCCGTAAGGGAGTCACCTCCGGGAGTAACCCAACTTTTATGATTGAAGATCCCATGAAGAAGGTTCAATGTGGTAGGAACAACTCGCACTGCGTGACTTGTAATAGCACTATATTATTTGTGTTCATCCATATGGTGATAGTACTATGATTGTGATATTAGGAAGGGTTTACCCTAAATGAGTATCGAGGTGGGAATTCTCACGAGGTGCGGATCACACACACCCTTGGAGGACTCACCTATGTAAGAGTTGTCATGAGGTCGTGACTATGGGATTGGTCTATTCCCTAGAGACTCTTACTAGAATCAAGATAAGAGCGTATGGCCATTAACAGTGCTACTCGCTATGAATTGAGTCTAAATCGATACTGTGTGTGAAGCAATTGAAGTTTGGTTAAAAGGACCTAATTCAAGGTTTAGTCCATTATGGCTCCTTCAAATGGAAATTGTTATCACTAAGTGAGGTTCAAATCCAAAAGACACATACACCTATTACACAGTATAAAACTGCCACTATATATATATATAAAACTGGTGGGGATTGTTGAAAAAAAAATTAGTTATAAAACTTTCAAATTAAATATTAAATATTTCAGTTTTTATTTTAATTCTTAAGCGTTCAGTTTTATTATTTTTTAATTTTTCAGTTTTGTGTTTAATTTTAGATTAAATACAAATTTAATCCCATTATTATATTTGTAACATATGTTGAATTTTATTAATTTTCATAATGAGATGGTAGAATTCTTCTACTACAAAAAGGAGGTGGATTTCACATTCTTAGACACAACAAAATCAAACACAAAAATACTCTGTACTCTCTTTTCATATTACTCTTCTCGTAACACTCTCTTGTTACTTTTATCTTCTTCTACAAACTTTTGGCAATTGATAAGGGCCTAATATTTCTCTCCCTGTGGTTGTGCCCATAGAAGGAGAACCAGCTGCGAGCTATAAGGGATTTATCTTGAAGTCGTGCAGTTCCAAAAGTACCCGCACGAAGAAGAGGCCACACGACTTTAGGACAGCGTTTATCCCGACTCTCTTAGGCCAGCTTTTCTAACTCTATTCTCATATTTATTTATTTGATTCATGCTTATAATTGATAGTACATTACACAAATCACGTTAATTTTTACAACATGTTGAAACTAAAAATTTAATGAATGCTGGACCATCAATTGACTGTCAAAGGAAAGAAAGATTGACTGTTGAAGGAATGAATCTGTTACATATTTAATGCAAACCCTTCAATAGCGATAGATTCTAGCTGCTTATTCTTGCCAAGATGTGATTGTTATACCTCTAATTCGATGGCTCCACGTGATTTTCTTAACCTCAAATGAAAATTGGTTTGGTATCGGGACCTGCAATATAGACGCGGTTAGTGTGCTTGCTGCCAGAGGTGCGAGGGGTTGCCAATTTGACATTTATATTTAGGTTAGTTTAAATTTTTTGGACGATTCCTAAAAGATAACAGTAGCTAAAATTCTAAAATAATTTGAGTGAATGGTCTAATATGAAGAGGATTTGTGCCTTCTATAATTAAATCCTACATCTTAATACTTCAGACTAAATCAATTTTTAAGTATGACAAAACATCTTGCCATGTCATGTATTGTGTTGCACAATCGAGGAAGTCTTCTCCACACCTGTTCTAATTTTTATTTTATGAATTGGATTTTAAACGGTTATATATATAATGGGTAAATGAGATGAAAAATGAAGATATATTAATTCTATGTGACATTTTGAAAGGGCTGCGATGGCAAAAGCCACCTGCCCCATCTGGTGTCTTGCCATTAGTATCATTTTTCAAATTAGTCATTGATGTCAAATTGAGTTTGTGTTCCACCATTACTGATGTAGGAGGATCCGAGTCGAGTAATGCTGATTTGTCAGATAGCATGATGATGGCGCTGAGATACCATGAGATGGCGGATCGACGCAAAGATGGAAAGTGAATCACTATTATTTCCTTAATTGGGGGAATTTGACATGTCTTTGGTAATTTGGCCATAACTTTGGCTACGGTTATCGGAATCGCTATTATGACCCCAATCCGGAAAGCTCTCTTCGGCGCGCACGTCATGGCCACCTAGCTATGCTTGGTGGACGTCAATTTCGAGCCCAAAATCCACTGTTTTCCTTTCCAAAATTTAATTTTAAGTTATTTTTTACTATTTATGGTAATATTTCGTTTCCTTTTTTCTATATGTTAGAAAACTCGAATTGAGCCAAATTTTTGGCAACTTACTTCTTTTACTTAATATTTTATTTTGGTATAATTTTGGAATTTTTCCATTTTCAGTAATTTTCCCATAATTTCGTATTTCGCAGCTATTTAACCCGGCTTGTGGGTTAGTTTTCAGCATTCTGCATTATTAATAATATTGAGTTGAATTCAGAGTATTTTCTCTGATTTTTTTGGGCATTTTCTGTAATTCTTTTCTTGCGAATCATCTGCTACAACAAGTCAATAGGATAATCACTATCCTACCCAGCATCAGTTGGTATCAGAGCGTCAGCATCTTCTTGGGGGATAAATTTCATCAGTTATAATGGTTGGTGGACGTGGTCGTGGTCGTCGAGGACATGTTCCGATTGAGGAAGTCCCGCACCGTGATCGTAATATTCAGGATGTGACGATTGAAGATTTGTAAAGACAAGTTGCGAAGTTAACCCAACGTTTGGCGAAGTAGGAGTTCGGTAATCATGATGTGGAAGGTCACGATTCCGATACCAGTTTCGAAAACCCGTATAACCATCGTGCTCGAGTTTGGGAGCATCGTGGATGGGAGGATCGTCATGTAGATCTCGGTTTCAGAGTGGATCTGCCCGAGTTTTCTGGTACGTTGCAGGCTGAAGGATTTATTGATTGGCTGAATAAAGTGGAGCGGATTTTTGAATATAAGAAGGTTCCAGATCGTGTCAAAGTGAAACTGGTCGCCATCAAACTCAAAGGTAGGGCATCTGCATGGTGGGAACAGTTGAAGCGCTCACGGGAGCGACAGGGAAAATCCAAAATTACTAACTAGGAGAAGATGAAGAAGAAAATGAAAGGGCACTTCCTCCCTTTCGGCTATACTCAAACCTTGTTTCAGAGGCTTCATTCATTAAGGCAACGCGCAAGATCAGTCAATGATTATACTGAAGAATTCTATCAGTTGGTGGCTCGGAATGATTTATCTGAAACGGAGGAGCAGATGGTAGCACGGTATTTGGGGAGATTAAGGCAGCCCCTGCAGGATGTTCTCAGCCTTCATTCATTGTGGACAGTTTCTGAGGCATGTCAGCGAGCACTTGCAGTAAAGAAACAGCAAAGTAGGAGGCCAGTGATCAGAGGTGAAGAAAGTCAGCTAGTTCGCCCTCAAGAATCTCGTCCTGCTTATCAGCCACAGCAGGATAGTTCCAGCTCAAGTATTAAGTACTTTAGGTGTGGTGAACAGGGGCATAGGGCGACTGATTGCAGGAAGCCTACTGGTCAGAAGAATAAAAATCTTCTGATTGAGAAGGATATGATAGAGGAGTTCGAGGAAGTTGGGGAACCCGTGTATGATGAGGGTGAAGATGAGGACGTGCTATATGGAGATGGTCAGGAGACCCTGGTCGTTCGAAAGAGCCTGCTGACTCCCAAGGGCGACGCAGGGGATGATTGGTTGAGGACCAATGTTTTCCACACAATCTGCACAGTTGCTGATAAAGTCTGTAAGCTGATAATTGATAGTGGCAGTTGTGAAAATGTAGTGTCTGAGGAGGCTATCGAGAAACTGCAACTGAAGATGGATCGTCATCCCAAACCATACAAGTTGTCTTGGCTAAATAAAGGCAGTGAGGTAACGGTAGAAAAACGATGCTTAGTGTCTTTCTCAATTGGAAAAAAATATTTTGATAATGCTTGGTGTGATGTGGTATCAATGGACGCCTGTCATGTTTTGTTGGGACGACCTTGGCAGTATGATCGCAGTGTTATCCATGATGAGCGAAAGAATGCTTATTCTCTTAGTATTAAAGGAAAGAGAATTGTTTTGGTGCCTCGCACGGGAGGAAACATCCCTGCCCCGGTAGTTAAAAACCCCAATCTACTTTCTATGTCCAGGTTTTTGGTTGAGATTGGGCGTGAAAAAATAATTTATGCTTTAATGCCTCGTGAAAATAGTACAACGAGTGTGGATTCAGAATTTCCAGCAGAAGTACAACAACTACTGATGGAGTTTTCTGACTTGATGCCGGAGGATCTTCCTCCAGGACTACCACCTATGAGGGACATTCAACATCAGATCGACCTCATTCCAGGGTCGAGTCTACCAAACCGACCAGCATATCATCTCAGTCCCAAGGAAGCTGAAAAGTTGCAGCGAGAGGTGGTAGAATTATTGGAAAGGGGCTACATTCGTGAGAGTATGAGTCCTTGTGCAGTTCCTGCTCTCCTAGTGCCGAAGAAAGATGGGTCATGGCATATGTGTGTTGATAGCAGGGCAATTAACAGGATTACAGTGAAGTACAGGTTTCCAATTCCCCGTCCGGACGACATGTTGGATCAATTGTCCGGTTCTAAGGTCTTCTCAAAATTTGACCTTAAAAGTGGATACCACCAAATCAGAATCAGACCTGGAGATGAGTGGAAGACCGCGTTCAAGACACAGCATGGGTTGTACGAGTGGATGGTCATGCCCTTTGGACTATCCAACGCACCCAGCACTTTTATGAGGTTTATGCATCAGGTTTTACGGCCTTTCATGGGGAAGTTTGTGGTAGTTTATTTTGATGACATACTTATTTATAGTCTGACATGGGAGTCACATTTTAATCATCTTCGTGCTATCTTTGATGTAATGAGGACGGAGCGCTTATTCATCAATTAGAATAAGTGTTATTTCTTCACAACTTCTGTAACTTTTTGGGTTTTGTTGTGTCTACTGATGGTGTTCATGCAGATCAATCCAAAATTGAGGCAGTTTTGAATTGGCCGAAACCAAAAACTTTGCACGATGTCAGGAGTTTCCATGGATTGGCATCCTTCTATCGTCGATTCATCGAAACTTTAGTACCTTGATTGCCCCTATCACAGAGTGCCTTAAAGGGCGTAATTTTCAGTGGACTGAGGAGGCAGAGGCTAGCTTTCAGTTGGTTAAGTAGAAGATGACGGAGGCCCCAGTCTTGGCACTTCCGAATTTTGAAAAGGTGTTCGAGGTAAACTGTGATGCGTCTGGAGTTGGCATTGGTGGTGTTCTGAGTCAGGAGGGACGTCCAGTAGCCTTTTTTAGTGAAAAGCTATCGAGATCGAAGAAAAATTATTCCACTTATGACCTGGAGTTCTATGCCATAGTTCAGACTTTGAAGCATTGGCTCCATTACCTGGTACAGAGGGAGTTCATCCTTGTTACTGATCATGAGACTTTGAAGTACATCAATGGTCAGCACAAGCTGAATAGGCGACATGCAAAGTGGGTGGCGTACTTGCAGGAGTTTACTTTCACACTCAGGCATCAAGCAGGGAATTTGAATCGAGTAGCAGATGCATTGAGTCGTCGCACATTACTCCTCACCACCATGAGCACCAAGATTGTCGGATTTGAGGCATTTCCTGATATGTATGCTGCGGATCCTTCATTCGGGAAGATAATTCGGGAGGTAACTGATAATCACTGACATGATTTTGTTTTACATAATTGTTACCTGTTTCGTGGATTGCAGTTATGCATTCCGAATTGTTCACTAAGGCAACAGATTATTAGTAAACTTCATAACGAAGAACATTTTGGGCGAGACAAGACATTGGCATTGGTCTCTTCTGATTATTACTGGCTCAAATTGAGCGGTGATGTGGCGCATTATGTGGAGCGGTGTTATGTATGTCAGCGGTCTAAAGGGGCTCTTACTAATACTAGATTGTACACACCATTACCCGTACCTGAAGCTCCTTGGTTTGATGTCAGTATGGATTTTGTCTTGGGCTTACCTCGTACACAGCTGGCGATGGATTCCATTCTTGTTGTGGTTGACAGATTTTCAAAGATGGCTCATTTTGTGGCTTGCCGGAAGACAATGGATGCTACTCGGATTGCTCATCTTTATTTCAGAGAGATTGTGCGTTTACATGGTGTTCCACAGTCAATTACTTCTGATCGTGACACTAAGTTTATGAGTCATTTCTGGAGGAGTTTGTGAGAGAAACTTGGAACGAAATTGAATTTTAGCAGCGCATATGCCCAAACAGATGGTCAGACTGAGGTGGTGAATCGGAGTTTGGAAAATCTATTGAGAAGTTTAGCCTGGACTAAACCGAAGCAGTGGGATTTGACATTACCTCAAGCAGAGTTTGCTTATAACCGATCGAGGAATAGAAGACTGAGTCCTTTTGAAATTGTCTATGGTCGAAACCCATCCAGAGTACTTGATTTGGCTCCAATTCCACGTGTGGGTCGCTTCAATAACAAAGCTGATGAGATGGCTGAACATCTTCGAGGTATCCATGAGCAGGTAAAGCTGTCCATACAGGATAGTAATACTAAGTACAAAGTTCAGGCAGATAGTCATCGACGCTTGTTTGATGTTGGTGATTTTGTTTGGGCAGTATTAACTCGTGATCGTTTTCCAGCTGGGGAATACAATATGCTAAAGGAGCGGAAGATTGGACCTTGTGAAGTGCTGCAGAAGATCAATGATAATGCTTACAGATTGCGCCTCCCGACCCATTTGAAGACCTCTGACGTCTTCAATGTAAAACACCTAAGCCCTTGTTTTATGGAGTCCGATGAAGTTACTGTGACCTCGAGGGCGAGTTCTTTCCAACCCGGGGCGACTGATGCAGGAGGATCCGAGTCGAGTGATACTGATTTGTCAGATAGCACGATGATGGCGCTGAGATACCATGAGATGGCAGATCAGCGTAAAGATGGAAAGTGAATCACCATTATTTCCATAATTGAGGGAATTTGACGCGTCTTTGGTAATTTGGCCATAACTTTGGCTACGGTTATCGGAATGGCTATTATGACCCCAATCCGGAAAGCTCTCTTCGGCGCACACGTCGTGGCCACCCAGCTATACTCAGTGGACGTCAATTTTGACCCCAAAATCCATTGTTTTCCTTTCCAAAATTCAATTTTAAGTTATTTTTTACTATTTATGGTAATATTTCGTTTCCTTTTTCTATATGTTAGAAAACTCGAATTGAGCCAAATTTTTGGCAACTTACTTCTTTTACTTAATATTTTATTTTGATATAATTTTGGGATTTTGCCATTTTTGGTAATTTTCCCATAATTTCGTATTTCGCAGCTATTTAACCCGGCTTGTGGGTTAATTTTCAGCATTCTGCATTATTAATAATATTGAGTTGAATTCAGAGCATTTTCTCTGATTTTTTTGGGCGTTTTCTGTCGTTCTTTTCTTGCGAATCATCTGCTACAACAAGCCAATAGGATAATCACTATCCTACCCAGCGTCAATTACTCAGATCCGGAGCATAACAATTTGCACGTTGAGGTGGTCTTTCTCGAGTATTGGAGCATGATGATCAACATTTCGAGCTTCAGATTGATATTGGAGCATGATGATGATCAGCATTTCGAGCTTCAGATTGATAAATCTAATGGTTTAGACACAACTGTGAATCTGTGATAAATTCCCTGGAAGGCCCCTCATAGGCATCTTTGACATGGTTGAGTTTTTTGGCATTTTTGTATTTACCCAGTTGGTCATTCTTGCTGAATTGTTCATACCAGACTCTAGAATCAGTTATTTTTATTTTGCTATCTGTTTATTCTTTATTCAACTGTTTTTTTCTCAATAAGTAAGCCTTTGCTCTATACATGTACATCATCTTCCTGTAAAGATATTCATTCCTTTGAAATGAACATTGAGTAGCATTTCTGCAACTTTCTCCTGCATTTTTTTAATTTTTTCACAACGAGTGATGTCAACTTTAATTTCAAAGTTGAAGCAATTGGGCCAGCCATCTATCTTCAGATTCATAAACCGAAATTACTCTTGCGGCCCCACAATGACAGAAAGAAGATGGGAGAAAAAAATGGTCCATTGGTGGCAGATATATTGATAAAAATTGTCATTGTGGCCCTCACACTTTCGAGTTCTAACGATTGGTTGGTTCATTTTGACCCTAAATATGAGTATTTTAGAGAATATACAGTCACATAGATGATCTCTTATTAAAAGTATGTATCATATCCATGATTTAAATATAATTTACCAAAAAACACTCTGCATATAATATTTATCTTATTATAGGAATGAGTAGGAGTTAACATCAAAATATTGAATCTTCATAACTTAGTTGTCTCATTGAACTAAGATCTTGAGATTTCTAATAATATTGAGTTTCCATTACAACGGTTCTTTCTCATTTGATTTTAAGTCCATTACCTTCGATAGGTAGTATACTTGATATTTTGGTAAACCTCTTATTAGCGAATTCGAAAGATTCTCCTTTGGTTACACATAATCGATGAAGAAACACCAATTGAGATTTACTGTTTTTAATGGTATTATATCTTTGGTGTATATATTGAGATTTATAACACGATTGATTCCATATCTTATTAAATGTAGCTAGCTACCATAATTAGTTCATATAATAGACCCAAATTGTTACCAATGAGGAAATTCTCCCAAAATTTTTGAAGCAAGTGCCTCTTTCTAGCTTTATCTAAACTTCTAATATGACCTTGCAATTGTTAAACTATTTGAAGGATTTCTAACATAAAACTACAATAGTCATAGTCATATTTAGTAGTTAATTTTGAAATAGATGTATATCCAATTTACTTATTTATGTCATTGAACCATTAAAGTTAAACATATGATCCATATATTGCATCTCAACATATTGAATATTCTTCAAATATATCAATATTTTAAATTTGAAGAGAACGCTATCTTCGCAAACTTGAGATAAATCCGAACTTCAATTGAGAATATAAAGTACGACAGTTCTACCACAGACAATCCTATTTAGAACTAAGCAACGTGATATTCGTCCACTACTTTAAAGTTTAATCATATCGTGAATAACTTCTATCCACCAAATAAACTATGTATACTCCAATTCAAACAACTAGTGAAAGCCATGCATTTTGCTTTCAAGGCTGACATAAATAATTAATCATTTCCAATATTGAATATAAAATATTATAACCTTATTGTATTATGATCCAAATTTGCGAATCGCACAATGTTGATTGGGTTGCAAAATCAGTCTCATTTAAAAATGGTGAATGAATAATACCTAGTTATTTAACGTGTCTTCTCTATATTGGACTTTCCGATGATATTTTTGTTACAAGTTCATTTTTCCTGAAAGAAAAACTGAATCGGTGCCCAAATTCGAAGATTTTAAAACTTTCCCAATGTCAGAATTGTGAACAATGCAAGACTATAATAACTGATAAAACCTTTCTTCGTCGGAACCAAACTGGAGCATTGCATGCGTCTCCAAGAGACTCGTAGCATATAGCCTGCAACCCATTGGCACAACCAAGGCTTTGGATTCTGTTATCTTCCACTTGGCCATGAGAAGCATTCAAGATCTTGCTCATTGCATATTATTAATGATAATTGGTAATAGAACTTACTAAGGAAATTAGCAAGAAATCACCAACCTGCTGGTCTCCATAGCATTTGAAAAATGCACCAAACTTCTTAACTTTAATTTTAAAACTTGCATAGAAAAGCCATTTTATCATGAAATTCATGTACATAAATAAATATAAATATCTGTTCATGCACAAAATATATGTAACAAATTTCCCAAAATCTGAACAAAGTATAATATGCATATAAAACTGGAGTTAACTACCAGATTGTTAATATCAAAGTAGGAAAGAGAATGCAATCTTTTTAC